TCGTTCGGGCAATACACTCCCTAACAATCAGTCGTTTCATCATTTTCGTTTCTTTGGTAATCGAATTGAAATAGAACTAAAACAAACCACAGAGCCTGGAATGCTACACATGTCACACACAGGTAATTCGTATTGATTCAATTCAGAGACGAGCATGAGTGGACCAAATGTGACTTGGCTCCCAACAACAGTCAAATACCCCAACTCAACAAGTCTCTGAAAAATTGGTTGAAGTTCTTTATCAATTGCGCTCACCGACAGTGAAAAGGAATTATTTGCTATTGTATCAAATATCTCAGTCTTTAACTTTTGTTGCGCTTGGTCAAAGATGCACGCCGAACACGTAATTTCATCAGACAACGTCCCGATAAGGCACAACACAATATCTCCACTGTCTTGATTAATTGACCTTCTAACCTCCAGCCCGTAGGCTTGGATCGATTGATTGAGTTCTCTCAACACAGAAGGCGGGGGTGTGGTTCCATCCCCTTTTGTTGTAACTATTAGTCTGAAATCACCTTCTGATACAATCCGTTTGATGTAAAAAAGTCGTGTAAGGTATTGCACTATTTCCTCTGTTGTGTATCTCTGCTGTGTGTTGGGTTGAAGCGCTTGTGCGTCTCCAGCAACTCCCCCCTTCTGTGGTGCACCTGATACTTCCTGCGAGTTTTGTTGTGACTGCTCTGAGTCAGACACACTCATTTTTCCCTTTTTCTGTTCTTTTATTCCTCCAAACTTCTCATTTTTCTTATTGTACAATCTCCCAATTTTTCACATCTTTTAATTGTGAAATTATTTTTATTAATTATCTTTATTACTTATTATTTTTTACAATATAAAATTATAATATATTGATTTACTATTACCAATAAAATAAATCATTATTTATTAATACTCATATATTCTAATATTTTGAACTAAAACTTATTTTTATTATTGATATATACTATAAATTAACTATATATTTGAAAAAAAAATATGATTCATCAAAAACTTCACAATCGATTTAAAATAAAAAGTGTCAAACTTGAAAAATAGAACGAGCAATGGATTATGTCAATTTAAAATCCAAAATCCGTGATAATCTTTCCAAATTGCAGAAATTCACAGGTAAGAGTGAAGTCATTAAAATTATGTTTGATGTTATCACGGATTTAGTTTCATTGGAAGAAAATTCAATTTCCCAGATCAAGGCGCTTCAATCCGAATCCACTTTAATTAAGCCTAAGCCAACCGATATTTTGCTTCAACATGATGACCCAAATTGTGTTTCACTACAATCAATTAATCTTTTTGCTGACTTATTGTTATGTCCCCAGGAAGTTGAGGTCTATAATGTTCTCTCATTGTGGACCAACTACATGAATTTTGAGATCATCTACAATTCGCTTATCAGTGGGCTCGATCCGAAAATATTAAATGAGAAGATTGCATCTCACAAAAATGTCATGTTTATGGTGTTAACATCCGACAATTTCGTTTTTGGGAGTTTTCACACCCCCAAAATCCCACAAACAAAGCCTCAAGGAAAGCGCCTTGTTA